TATCCTTTATTATCGTTTGGATACCAAATACAGTAAAGACAGGTTCAAATAATTCCAATTACAATCGAATGACTTCCAGGGTAAAGCCAGTAGAATGATGAGATTTTGTAAGGATTAGTAGATTGAAGAGTGTTTGCGTGAACTTGAGTGTGCGACAGATGGGATTTTTGCAACAATGAATAATTCTTAGGTTTTCTTATGTTTATATAAGGAGTGTGTAAGGAGAAAGGAAAGAAATACGGTGCTTAACAGATATTTAGAGATAAACATGTTGGATATAAACATGTTTATAAGATTGGATATTTCTACAGTATGCCCATCCATGTTTATAAGATTCATTGTCATCCAGATGTGCGCAAATCTCAACATCAGATAAAGCTTCTTTAGATGATTTAAAGATTAGATAATTGACTTATGACCTTAGGCATGAGAGAGAAAAAACAGGTGTAAATGGAAACTATTTGAATGAATAGTTTCATGATACAATTATTTCGGTTTTTACGACACTCCCGACTGAGAGAAAATTTTAGACTTGGGGGATATAATTAAAAATATCTATATGATTTGATTGTTTAATAAATGTAGGTTGGTTTTGTTGGGTTTTTAGTGAGACAGCTAATTCAGTTTCAGTCGGGTTTGTCGTTTGATGTAAGCATTTAATACAAGGTAGATAAAATATGGAACCGAATAATTTTAATTTCACTTTAATGATAATTATTACCAAACAAATTATGAAAACACAAACGCCAAAAATAATGAGTCGCCAATGCCTTCTAAAGTTGTTTAGTTCTTCTTGTATTAGTTCGGTCATTTTATTGACTCCATCTCCGATTTGTTTTGATAGTTCGGTGCTTTCTTGGTCGATCTCTCTCCAGATATTCCATTCTGGCCGTTAGACTTGATGATTGCTGTAGGTCGTTGTTGTGATAAGATTTTTAGTTCAGCATTTATTCTTTCAATCTCAAAGAGATCGATGATGCCACTGTTAAATTTTATTGACTTCAACTCGGGGTTATTTGATTTAAAAGGTGCGATTTGGAGACTTCCATTGATATGTTTTGCGATTACGTCGTTCCTTTGTAATACTAAGTTAGCTGCTACAGTAAGATTATCATGCGATATCCACTCAATAAGTGTTAGTAAGTTATTACGATTACGGCAGCTATTTTGATAGATTTCATTAAACTTCTGCTGAAATTGTTCTTGAAGAATATTATAGAGATATTGAAGTTTGGTATTTTCCGGATCAGTTCCCTTTTCTTTAGTGTTTTCCATCA